GTAAGACATAGAGGTTTTGTTACTTGCTTGTGTCATATGATTATCAGTAACAGGGAGAACTCATGTTCAGGTCAAATTCTACAGCTTATGTTTGAACCACACCTGTGCCCTCCAAATGCAGTTTGGAGTTTTTTCCTTCCAGTCCCTGAGCTAGACAGCAGGGTTCTCTGCCACATTTAATGCTCAGGCTCAAGCCCAGGGGATCCTATAGTTGGGGATTCCTTATCAGTTTGCTTTGCCCTGTCCTTGGGCAGACTTGGGCAGACTTGCTCTCCTCGAATAACTGTCAGCGGTTGTGGTTCCTGTTCATTGAGTCTCTTGATCTTGGTAATAATTCTGTGACCTAGGAAAGCGAGTGTCATCTCTTTTTTTGGGGGGGCGGGTTCTGTTACCAGGAACCGAACTCAGGACCTTGCGCTTTCCAGGCAGGCGCTGTGCCACTGAGCTAAATCCCCTGCCCTGCGAGTGTCATTTCTGTTGGTGAATGAGGAATGACTGAGACTCTTAGCAGGCAGAGAAGGCAGCCAGTGTTTGGATCTAGATCTAACTTTTTTTCCAACAATAGGTTGCCTGTTCTCTAACTATGGATGTCTGTATCAGTGACAGTGTTGGTACCAGATATTTACTTACTTACTTACTTATTTATTTTTTGTCTTTTTGAGACAGGGTTTCACTGTGCAGTTCAGGCTGGCCTTAAGCTCATTTTGTAGCCCAGGCTGGTCTTGAACTCACAACGATCCTCCTGCCTCAGCCTCCCAAGTGCTGTGATTATAGCCATGTGCCACCATGCCTGGCAGTACCAGATATTTATAATGTATGTTTCTTAGGTCTTTTGAGGCAGGTTCTTACTGTGTAGTTCAGACTTGTCTTGAACTTACTGTGTAGCCCAGGCTGGCCTTGAACTCATGGCAATCCTCCTGCCTCAGCCTCCTGAGCACTGAGATTACAGGTGTGTGCCACTATGCATGGTTTAAGTATACTTCTTAAAAGCTGTGTGTCTGTATTAGCTGTGCAGTTAGGGGACTATGTTACAGCACAAAGCAAGGTGCCAGCTTGATGTGTGATAAAGTATAGAGAAAGAAGCCGGGCACGATGGTGCATGCCTGGAGGCCCAGCTACTCAAGAAACTGAGGCAGGAGGATTACTTGAGCCCTGGAATTCAAGGCCTGTTTGGCCACATAGTGAAGCCTCAAAAGAAAAAGGAAAATGTTTCCATGGATATAGCCCAGTAGCATAGTGCCTGCCTAGCAAGCAAGAGGTCCTGAGTTTGATTCCCAGTACAAAAAAAAAAGGTAAATGTTGAGGTAAACATGTTTTGTTAAAGGCTGAGCTTAAACAAACAGTACATGAGGTAGTTGGTACTGTATTTCCGGAGTGTGACCTCTTTCTTATTCAGCATACTTATCTCATCCTTGGGTTATTTTTTTTTTTAAGCAGTGACAAAATTTATTGAAAAAATAAAAGTGAAGAGTCAGAGAGAAACTGGCTCTGTAGCGTGAGCTTGGGCTGCGTAAAAGAAGGAAAAGCAAAACAAAAGAATACCCTAGAGAAAGCAGGGCAGGCTGTCATGAGGAAAGCCATGATAGCCTGGGGTTTTTTCTTAAAAAGGATTCTGTACCCTGGTGTTCACTCTCCCCACCCTCATTTTTTATTAATTCTGATTCCTTTATTTGTTGTTTTTACCATTGTCACCATCAGGGGAAGCAGGGCAAAGAAAACTAATGGAAGTGGCTAAGTGTCCCACTTCATCCACCTGGATGAGGCTAAGCTGCCCTGTCACCTCTGCTAGAACAGTCAAGCTGAGCCAGCTGTGGTCACACAACCCCATTCCTGCACTTGGGAGGCTAAAGCAGGAGGATCGTGAGTTTTTGGCCATCCTGGGTTACTTAGTAAGTTTGAGCCCAGCCTGAATTGCATAGTGAGAATGTCTCAAAAAATAACAAAAACAAAAAATACTGACAGTTGATAACTGACTTAGTTTTTTTTTTTTTTGGTTTTTCTCTGGTACCGGGAACCGAACTCACGACCTTGCGCTTGCCAGGCAGGCGCTTTTGCCGCTGAGCTAAATCCCCAGCCCCGATAACTGACTTAGAACAAAGGAACTCTTGCTGTTTATTGTACCACTGTCTTTCACTTGGACTTTAAAGAATAAAGCCCACCAACATGGGTGAAGGGAAACACAGAGGCAGTGAATGGAAGATTTCTGTACCGCCTCTTTCTTCTTGACCTCAGTTATCACCAACCCATTCGTATTTTTTTAAGACTTTCCTCAAGTCAGACATTTCATAAGCATTTAAATTGTTTTTGTAATTAAAGTTTTATTAGCTGGGTGTGGTGGTGCACGCCTGTAATTCCAGCACTTGGGTGGCTGAGGCAGGAGGATCGTTTGGAGTTTGAGACCAGCCTGGGCTACAAAACGAGCTCAAGGCCAGCCTGAACTGCATAGTGAGATCCTGTCTCTAAATAAGCAAACAAACAAACAAAGTTTTATTAGAACACTACCACCCTGCCTGTTCATTATATTATATTACATGTAACTGCTTTCATACTGCAACTCAGGGGCTGGGGATTTAGCTCAGCGGCACAGTGCCTGCCTGGCAAGTGCAAGGTCGTGAGTTCGGTTCCTGGTACCAGGAAAAAAAAAAAAAAGAAAGGCCATACTGCAACTCAGACTTGCGTAGTTTGGGCACAGATCATAATGGCCTACAAAACCTTAAAATACAAGTAGCTCAAGCCATTTGCCCAGCCCTCTGTTGAATTATGCTGAATGAATTTTTGACCATGGTAACACAGAACCCTGTGTCAAAATGATTCCACTTTTATCTTCGCTTTTATTCATCAGTATAAGAACATGGGCAAAAAAAAGAAAAAACTTAGGCCACCTGCATTTTCTTACATATCTTTCCCAGTTTTTGTATTTGTCTCCCCATATGTGGCTACATTTCTTGCTCCCCTAAATCCATGTATTAGTTTTAGAGAGAATCTGTTTTTGGTGGTGGGGGGTGCTCCCTATGTAGTCCAGGCTGGCCTGAAACTCTCAGCAGTCCTCCTGCCTCAGCTTCCTGAATGCTAGGTGTACAGGCATGTGCCACCAGGCCCAGCAGGAGAATCTTAACAAAAACATATTTAAAGTTTGTAGACTCTGATATAAACATTTAATTTATGTGTGAACATCTATTCTATACTCAGCAAATAAAGCAGGCTATTATATACATTGGAATTATCTACTAAGTACAAGGCATTATACCAATTTTACTTCTTTTTTTTTTTTTGAGACAGTCTTGCTATGTAGTTCAAGCTGGCCTTGAACTCACTTTGTACCCCAGGTTGGCCTCGAACTTGTGGCAGTCCTTCTGCCTCAGCCTCCTGAGTGCTGGGATTATAGGCGTGTGCCACCACACCTGTTTGTAAACACAGGGTTTTTCCTTCCTGTATGCACTTTTGCTCAGGTCAGCCTTCTCAAGCATGGGACCAAATTTCCCTGCCCCTCCTAGACTTGAGCTTTCTTTTCCTGCATCCGAGAGCAGCAGTTTCTAAGCAGTTGTTGCCAGCTAAGCAGCAATGCCACTGAACACAGGCAGCTGTGCCCTTTCCCTTCTGATACACTCACTCGTCTGCTTCTGTTCGTTGATGCCCAGTGTCGTGACTTTGAATGGGGTCTCCTTTGGGCCAAGGCCAGCTGAGGCCACAAGCTGGGCATTCAGCAGATTAGTCCTTGTTCTGTCCTGGCTGCTTCTGCAAGGGAGGAAGGAGGGACAAAGTCAGCTAGCTGAGCCCAGGCTCCCAGCCAAACCCGTTTCCTTGTGCTTTGGGCAGACTGTGTACTTACTCATTCAGCGAGCATGTATTAAGCACCTTTTGAGTATACTCAGAAGTGTCCCCTCCTTTGAGAGAGGGAGAACAAAGCAGAGACCTCTTGCAGGGAAAGGAGCATCCTTAAAGAGCTCTTGTGTTAGGAACCTTTTCCTTTCTGACTGGAAGCCTGACATCCGCTGGAGCTCCCTGATGGGCGGCACCGGAGATGAGAACAAAGAGACTGTTAACATTAATGAGATGCATTGAGTGGGTATTTCTACAGTCTCCAAAGGAAGGCAGGTTTTTCCTCTTTCTTTTTGGAAAGTGACAGCTGACATGGACCAAATACAGACTATTTTTGACTCTCAGGACTCAAAGATGCTCTGAATCCCTTCTTCCCAGATCGCCCCCTGCTGCTCTGTCATTTATTATCACTCTCCAAAAGGGAAATAAATAAAGGCTTTTGATCTTCACCCAGTCAGGCACCAGAGTAAACTATAAACAAAAGTGAACTTGTGACATGGGGGTGGGGAGAGATGTTGGCTGCTCCTGGAAAAAAAAGTGTCCTGTCCCCTGATGCCAGGTGGGCATGGTACCCAGCTGCCAAGTATGGGGAAAGCTGACCCTCATTGGCCACCTCAGACTGAAGTTTAGTCACTCTCTATACTTTCTTTATCAGAGTATCATGAGAAGGGTCCTTGTGGCCACAAAGGCCCTGTCATGCAGTCCTGCTTAGAACCTTCAGTCCCCATATCAGCTTGGCTGGTAGGAACTTAAGAGCTCCATGTAGCAGAAGAATTCTTGGTTACATCTATGAGAACCAGCAGATCCTGGCTGTCCATGATATGAGCCTTTGCTGGATGTCGTGGTGCACACCTGTAATCCCAACTGAGGCAGGAGGATTGCCATGAGTTCGAGGCCAGCCTGGGCTACATAGTCGGTTGAAGGCCAGCCTGAACAAAGTGAGATCCTGTCTCAAAAACAGCAGCAACAAAAAAGACTGGTGCCCACTAAATGCTACCAGTACTTGTTATCGTGGGGGCTGAGGCTGCATCTAGAATGAAGGCTACCGAAAACCTAATTTTCATGACACACCCTCAGCGGGGAATCTAGATGGGCTGGTTGGCTTGGCACTGATGAGCTCCCTCCCTCTTTGCTCTCCCTCTTCTCTCTCTCTCTTCCTCTCTTTCTCTCTCTCTCTCTAGGGGACACTACACAGAAAATGAGAACTGCTCACTATCCTACCCCAGCCGAATTGGACGCGTATGCTAAGAAGGTCGCAAACAACCCACTGACTATAAAAATCTTCCCCAACAGTGTGAAGGTTCCCCAGCGGAAACACGTTCGTCGTACTGTGAACGGCCTCGACACATCAGCCCAGCGCTACAGCCCCTACCCGACTCAGGCTGCCACCAAGGCAGGCCTGCTTGCCATTGTCAAAGTGCCAGCCAAAAGCATACTCAAGGACTTTGACGGCACCCGAGCCCGGTTACTCCCTGAGGCCATCATGAACCCCCCAGTGGCACCCTACGCTACTGTGGCACCCAGCACTTTAGCCCACCCCCAGGCCCAGGCTCTGGCCCGCCAGCAGGCCCTGCAACATGCACAGACCCTGGCCCACACCCATGCCCCTGCCCAGACGCTGCAGCACCCTCAGGGTATCCCGCCGCCACAGGCACTGTCTCACCCTCAGAGCCTCCAGCAGCCTCAGGGCCTGGGCCACCACCCTCAGCCCATGGCCCAAACCCAGGGCTTGGTCCACACTCAGGCCCTGGCCCACCAGGGTCTCCAGCACCCGCCTAATCCCTTGCTGCATGGAGGCCGGAAGGTGCCAGACTCAGATGCGCCCCCGAATGTGACCGTGTCTACCTCAAGTATCCCCCTTTCGATGGCGGCAACCCTGCAGCACAGCCAGCCCCCGGACCTGAGCAGCATCGTGCACCAGATCAACCAGTTTTGCCAGACGAGGGCAGGCGTCAGCACTACCTCAGTGTGTGAGGGCCAGATCGCCAACCCCAGCCCCATTAGTCGCAGTCTGCTCATCAATGCAAGCACGCGGGTCTCGACCCACAGCATCCCCACACCAATGCCTTCCTGTGTGGTCAATCCCATGGAGCACACCCACGCGGCCACGGCCACACTGCCTGCCGCAGGCTCTGTCAACCTGCCCACAGGCATCTCTCGAGCCCCTGCTGGCTACCCTAGGGACCTCAAACCAGTTGCCTGGAACCAGCACCAGCTGGCCCACCTACAGCAGATGTGCAGCGAGGCTGGTGGGACACCAGCCCCTGGCCTAGCAGGCAAGCATGCAGCAGGACGCGAGTTGGCAGCACCCGGCTTTGTGGCCAAAGCCCCTGCCTACCCGCAGGAACTCTGCCTGGCACAGTCCTTTCATCTGAAGCCACCCCTGGAGAAGCCGACCCCGTCCCCACCAGTCAACGGCCTGGCAGCCCCACTGGCCTACCCCAATGGTCACTACTTCCAACCCCTGTGGAACAACATTCTGCCCACTCCCAATAGCGACAGCTCGGGGTCTCAGGACCTTGCCATGCCATTCCACGGCGGGCAGGCTACAGGTACACCCCTCGACTGTGCAGCAGCTCCTGGGGTCCACTACCGAGCGGGGACTGGGGGTGGTCCAGTGGCAAGCCAGAACAGCTTGATGCAAACAGTGGATTACCTGAGTGGGGATTTCCAGCAGGCCTGCTTCCGAGAACAGAGCCTGGCCGTGCTGAGCAAGGCCCATCGAGTCCCGGGCAGCCGAGCCCCTGATCCCACAGATAGTCGAAGTCTTCATATTCAGCATCCGGGGTATAGATAGGGAGGGTACTTTCCTGAAGCAACATGTCATACATCACCCTCCTAGGTTTAGTCTTACTTTTAAGTAACTGGATAGTTTCAAAGTTTCACTGCTCCAGTGTGATCATTCTTAGACGTCTAAGGAAGGGAACTTGACAGGAACTAATTGGGGGCAGAAGAGGTCCTCTTATCCTCCCCTCCAGCAGCTTTTATGTTAGGACCTAACTAACCGTAGGCTCTTCTCTACCTGCCTGTCAGGCTGTGCACCTCAGCCATTTCAGACCATCCTCCCATTTATTCCTGAACCTCTGCCTATTTCCCTTAGAACTAGGGTGTGACTAAAGAAAGAGGCCTAGGCCCCTAAACGCTAGGCCTCTCCTCTCTTTGGGATTAAGAAGCCAGACTTTCCAAGTGCTCTGGAAACTAATTCCTTACTCACCCAAAGATCTCAAATCAGAACTAACCCAATCTTTGTCTCTTCCCAGCTCCTTTCCATTACTCGAGGCCATAGCCTTGAAAAATGGAGAAAAATCTTTTATTGGTGTCTTGGTTCCTGACTCTCCTTCCAGACCTAGAGAAATGCAGTGGTCAGCTGGCATCCCAGGATCCCTTCTCACTATTGTCCGTCTCCTATCATAACTGCTGTTCTCATCCCTACCCACCCCCCCCCCAAAAAAAGCAAAAAAATAAAACTACCTTATGTGAGAAATTAGGTAGGTGGGATGATCACATTGGAGTTTGGAATTAAAAACACCAAAAAAGAAAAAAAGAAAAAAAAAAGTTAAAATGCATTTGGTTCTCCCTACACTGGCTAAGAATATTGCTCTACACTGTAAGTTTTAACTGTCATGTTTCTGTACGAATGTAGTGTGGGTTTGAGTAGCATTGTGTATGAGTGGCCCCACAGGTACACTGACCCTCCTAATCACCTCCTTTTGCAGCCCCTCAGATTAATGGAGAAAAAAAAAAACACAAAGCCTTAAGCTCTTTGAATTCTTCCTCTACCAAATGAGCATGGTTGTAATCTGCTGGAGAAGGGCCTAGTCAGAAATAGCCTCTCCCGCCCTGCCCGTTCTCAGAGCACCCCCTTCCCACTCCATGCTCTGTCTTGTCCCTGAGTGACAATTAGTTGGCTAGAAATGTATCTCTTCTCTGTACCCTTAAACTTAGATTATATTTTATTGTCAATCTTTGCACTCCTATTCTGTTAAAAGATGCAGTTGGGCTCTGACTTTTTTTTTTTTAACCAAATAAGCTCTTGCTTTTCCTCTTGTTTTGGGGAATGTGAGCTGATACTTAAGGTTTTGGGTTGTTTACTATCCACTCTTCCTTAGCCAGAAATTCTCTAGTGAACTGAAGCAGTATGACTGGAGAACAGTTTTTTTTGTTTTGTTTTTGGTTTTTTTCTGGTACCGGGAATCGAACTCACGACCTTGTGCTTGCCAGGCAAGTGCTGTGCCGCTGAGCTAAATCCCCAGCCCCTTGAAGACCAGTTTTTAAATTACATGTTGGCAAGTTGCCTTATATTTAAAAAAAAAAAAAAAAAAAAAAAAAAAGCCTGATTGTGTTATGCCAAATGATAGCAACATGAAATCCTAATTTATTGCCCCAGTTGTTTTCCTGCCATCTGTGAACACTGGTACCTCCCTGTCCCTAAACCCTCAGAAGCCCCTGAAGCTTCTGATGCAATGCCTTCTCCCCAGGTGTTGACCACCGTCTCCTGTGGTCCCCTTCCACATCCTGCTTTTTGGAATCAAACTTAAAAGAGCACTGCTGTCTCCCATACCTCTTGCTTGATCTCCAAATCAAATATTCTTGCTGAAATCCTCCTCCCTCACACAAACCTCTCCCTAAAGGGTGAGCTGCCACTGTAGGAAACGACCAGATTCTACCAACTTGGCTTTAAGTCAAACAACCTCAAACCCATCTCTTCCTGTGTAGGGGTGCAAGTCTTTGAAGCTCACTCCCACCCCTAGTCTGCATGGAAAATGTACTGTGCACCCCCTTCAACTGCCCTCACCTTTGGTGTGAGATGTTTCCTAGTTCAACCTGAGTCCCCTGCCCCTCTGCCAGCCAACCCCCAACCAGCAATAAGGGTCCAAGCCAGGGCCTCCTATCTATATTCCTTGCCTCCACCCTGTGCCACCCCTAGGGAAAACCCAGATTCCCCACTCTATCCACATACTGTAGCATTCATTCTCCATCTCTCACCTTCTCACCTGTGGTGGTTTATGGGTGTGATGGGGTTTTTAAGATTATTATAAACCAGTAAAGAGAAAAAAACCGCTTTTGATCTTGTCCTATTCCTTTAATGCAGTGAATATCAGGTGTTTTCTTATCTAGAAGGGGAATGCTTCCTTTGTGTGGTGGTGGTGTCCAAGCCCTCCCTAATGCTTTATCCCAGGTAAGGTGCTGGGACTCTTGGTAGCCAGACCAGTCAGCAGCCTCTCCGAAGGAGGGGTGTACCCCCCTGGGTTGCCCGGGCCTTAGCATGCAGCTTGGATATGGTTTGCTGCCTCTCACTGGAGGCGAGAGTCCTGTCACATTTTCACTCCAAGGGCCATCAAAGAAATGGTGATCTGGGGCTGGAGATTTAGCTCAGCAGCACAGCGCCTGCCTGGCAAGCGCAAGGTCGTGAGTTCGATTCCTGGTACTGGAAAAACAAAAAAGGTGATCTGACTTGGCCAGTAAAGCCAATGGAAAAAAGTAAACCTTCCTCCAGCACTGGTTTCTAAGGGCCTCCACTGAGTGGAGGAAATGAGTGCTGTAACATGTAACACAAAAACTGCCCTGCCCTTTGTGATCTGAATTTTCTCATGTATTGAGTAGGAGAACTTGCCCTCTTTTATCTACAGGGCAAACAAACCAAAAGAGATACTTGAATTACCCTCCTCCTTTTTCACTGGGTTTGGGTTTAAGCCAAAATGTGATGGAAGTGTAAAGATTGGTACTGCAGGCCGTAGGACTGATTCAGGGAAGAGGACAGCAAACCCTTGGTAGCAAGAGTCAGCTAATAGCTTTCTGAAGATTGATGGAGTTCAAAGTATCCTTCCCTCCTCAGCCTCGCTTTTTCTGTGGGTGCCCTTTGTGAAAGTGCTCTGCCTCCTTCCCATGCCACCCTGAGGAAGCCCTCTACTGGTCAGACTTGGAGTCCGCTCAAGTAGAATAGTGGGCTGAGGTGGGTGTTTGGGGAATCCGGCTCTCGCTGTGATGCAGAACCTGGCCCAAGGTTTCATAAAGTATGACACAGCGGAATGGGGGCCAGACCCACGAGGCTGGCTGAGTGGGGTTCAACTGCAAGGCCTCATTGAGATGCTGGAAAGGTGGTTTTGCGTCTTGCCCCCTAGAAGCAGCCCCTCTGCTAGAACACATGGTTTTCCCTGCCCATTTCCAGGCATCTGTGTACCAAACTGGTTTGGTGAGGGACCATTTGCCCTTAGGTGAACCCCACAATCTTCTAAAGACTATGTAGAGCTCCCCAGGCTTACTGGCTCTGGCTCAGTCCTTTCCTGTCTTCTGATAAAAAGGCCTTCTCACCTCACCATCTGTGTGGGAAGAAAGATTTACCCATAAACTCCTTTACAGGTAATTCCCATAGATTGGGCTTCTTCTCAATGCTAGACAAGAACAGTAAGGTACTTTATGCTGATTAATTTACTTAGTCACTGCAACAAAGCCTAGAAAGTGTACAGAACTCATTTTACCAGTGGGGGTAGTGATGTTCCATGTAACTGACTTGCCAAAGTAAATCCAAATGTATTGCCAAAATTAGAAGAAGTTACACTTCTAGGGCTTGCTCAAGTTTAAAACAACACAGAAGGGGTTGGGGATTTAGCTTAGTGGCACAGCGCCTGCCTGGCAACTGCAAGGTTGTGAGTTCAATTCCTGGTACCGGAAAACAAAACAAAACAAAACAAAAAAACAATGCAGAAGCCAGGCATGGTGGTACATACCTGTAATCCCAGCACTGGGGAGGCTGAGGCAGGAGGATCATTGTGAGTTTGAGACCTGCCTCAGCTACAAAGTGAGCTTAAGGTCAGCCTGAACTGCACAGGGAGACCCTGTCCAATGCAGAGTCTGGGGTTGGGGCTCAGTAGAGGGTACATGTATCATATACAAAAAGCACTGGTTGGATATCCAGCACCAGGAAAACCCCAGCTCCTGTCACCAAACAGCTGAAGGATAACACACTTTTCTGTTCGTAGTTCATCGGCAAAATGCAGGTAATCATACGCACCCACTGGGCCCTATACAAAAAGCAAATGACTGCCGGGAGTGGTGGCGCACACTTGTAATCTCAGCACTTGGGAGGCTGAGGCAGGAGGATCCCTGCGAGTTCAAGGCCAGCCCGAACTGCACAGTGAGACTCTGTCTCAAAAAGACAAAAAAACAAAACAACAAAAAAAACAAACTACCGGACATGGTGGCACACGCCTGTAATCCCATCACTTGGGAGGCAGAGACAAAAGTATCCCCATAAATCTGAAGCTGGTGGTGAATTCAAGGCTTGCCTGGGCTACAGTTAAGTTCAAAGCCAGCCTACAGTACAAAGTGAGATCCTGTTTAAAAAAAAGAAAAGTCCAAGTGCTTTGTACGTCTTGAAGGCCCCCTTAGCTGAGTCCCTGGCTGTGGGCTGGACTTCACAGATTAACATTCATTAAACACTGTATCAGAAACATGTATTGTCTCATAAACCCTCCACTAAGGCCTGCTTAAAATAGGTCCGTGTGGCCAATGTAGTGCCCACATGACTAATCCCAGCACTCAGGAGACTGAGGCAGGAGGATCACCAAGACTTGTATTAAATATTGCACATAAAGTGCTTAGCAGTGTTTACTAAGTACTCCCAGCCCTGTGTAATCCCAACACTCAGGAGGCTGAAGCAGGAGGATCACCAAGAGTTTGAGGCCAGCCTGGGTTACATAGCAAGACCTTGTCGCAAAAGAAAAGCCTAGGCTGCATGTCAGTGGTGAGAGTGCTTACCTGCACATGCAAAGCTAGTTCAATCCGTAGAACAGCAGTGAAAAACAAAAGTGAGGAAGTGTGTCCAATGAATGCTAATAAGTATTGACCAAGAAAGTCCAAGTCTGGTGGGGTGGGCCTGGGACTCCTGCCTTAAGAAACTTACAGGCCATGCACTTCCTTCATCTAAGCACCAGAGGGCAGGGCCGGACGACACCCACAACGCCGCCTACAGTTCTCCTGTTGTCCACCAGATGGAGGTCCAGCAGGGCAGCTGGATCCTTGGGCGGGACTGGCAGACTTCTTCCCCCACTGCTCCTTTGCCTTCAGCTGGGCCCAGCCTGGCGTGCCCCCACCAACCCAGTTGAGAAAGGCTGGAACCAAGTTAATAAATAGAATTGAGGATTTATTAAAAACCAAGGCTCCCCTGCTGTGCCCTCTTGGCACTAAGGAAATAAATAACCAGAGGGGACACAGCTAGGGAAAGGGTAAGAGAAATCAATCTCAAGACAGATTCTTGTAACTACCCCGCCCTTTCCCAACCCCTCCCCCCCATATGGCTCTTGGGACGTAGCACCTGAGCAGGCACCTCGGTCCGAGAAGGATATGGCCGCCACCAAGGCATGTCTGCTCTGCCCAGGAAGGGAGACAGGCCCTGGGATGGCTTGTTTCCAGCCCTTGATAACCCCGAGACCTGCTCTCCCCACGGGCCAGGGCTGAAGCACCAATTGGAGGCACCTGAGGGTGGTGGTGGTCGCGGGAGAATGGAGTAACAGAACCGTGGCAGCAGAAAGCGGCTGAAAGGGGGTCCGGCCCCCTCTCCAGGTTCAACCAGTGCCTGACGGTCATGTCCCATCCCCCTCTCCCCTCGAGCCTGCCAGCTCTGCTCTCAACTGAGGATCTTCCGGGGTAGTTCAACAGAGGCACGGATGAACACTGCATCATCCCGCACATAGTTTCGCTTTCGGATGTCCTGGTGGGAGATGAACTTGGGGTATCCAAAGCCCAGAGAACTCTCATCCAGGGAACCTCGCCAAGTGCCCGGCTTTTGGAAATTCTTCCAGTTTGGGTCAGGGTGGAAGGTCTCAGTGACATGCTGTGGCTTAGCCAGGCCAGGGTCACTCTGATCCAGCAGGGAGAAGGTGACGCGGCGGGCAAAGGGCCACTCAAGGAGATTGTCAAAGGCGCCTGGCAGCACACGAATGTAGAGTGAGAGATGCGTGCCCTCACCACTGCCATTGCCATTGAGGAATGCAGACACCTGTAGCTTATAGCCATACTTATGCGTATAGAAGGCTGGGCTGAAGCACTCAAGGTTAGGCTTGGCCTTCGCCTCCTGTAGCCGCCGTCCATAGCTGCCTATTTTCCAGATGAGCACTCCGTCACTGCCGACAGATAGCTCCTCCAGCTCTCGCCTCAGTTCTTGCAGCTCCTGCCGCTGCCGGCTCACCAGGGCACACATCATAGCCAGATGTGGCTTCACGCTGTCCTCCACATGCCGGGCCATTGCGAGCTTAGGGCACTGTTGACAAAGCCGCAGGCCACAGGGGAAGGGAGGAGTTACCAGACAGGTAAGGTCCAGGGGACAGGACAGGTTTGGGGATGGGATTGCATGTGCCCAGGTCTGCAGTGAAAGCCAGAGGGTGCTAGGAAGGAGCTGGAGCTGGAGCTGGCCAGGAGAGGCAAGGTCCCTGCATTCACAGCAGGGACCACTAAGAGCTGGGCCATACCAGGAAGCCTAGCCTCCATCTAGGGCAATGACGGGAAATCTTTCACAGCTTTCAGTGGTGACAAACTGCTTACTGTGGCATGTGTGCCACAGGTTTGCCACCACTGATTAGAACTTCCAGGGCTAATGGGGCTCACAGAAAAGAAAAGGGGCATCTCACCCTGTGCTTGCAGCCGGAGTCTTTGAACGGGCACAGCACCAAGGCAGTGCTACAGCTGTCCTTCAGATGGCCAGGTAGATCCTCCCGAGCCACAGTACCCACACCGCACTGGTTGGGGCAGGGCACAGGCAGCCTGGGGCACTGGTACTGGTGGCTCTGGGACCACAGAGGCAGAGGCAGCAGTCAATAGCCCAATTCTGTGTCACCTGTCCCACAGCCCACAGCTCAGAAAAGGCCTCACCTGGATGGTGTCAAAGACAAACTCCTTGGTACAGTAGGTGCAAGGCTGGGTACGCTTGGGGCACTCAGAAGTCGCATGCTGGGCCAGCAGTCGCCGCATCATGCGGGCACCACACTTGTTCTCACAGTACACACTCTCCTGAGGGCACATGCCTTCGTGGCTCTGCGGAAATGCCAGGGGGTCTGAGTTAAGGGATGCCCAGGCTATCAGGTGCTCCATCCTCCTCCACCATCAGCCGGGCCCCACCTACCTCGTAGGCTTCCCCACTGAAGTCACAGCCACAGAACTCGCACTTGAGGCGCCGCTTGGGGCAGTCGTGCTGCAAGTGTGCAGGCAGATCGCGGCGGCTCAGCTTGGTGGGGCAGCGATTGGGGCAGGGGACTACGTTGAAGCTGCAGGTATTCAGGTGGCCCTGGTGAGAAGGGCTGCAGTCAGTGCCTGCCAAGGATGGGCAGCCCCAGCCCCTCCACGTCAACCATGTCACACCCTCACCTGTAGATGTCGCAGTGGCCCGCTCCAGCGGCAGCCCTCCTCACTATGGATGCAGCGGATAGGCAGACCCAATACCTGAACCTCCAGCTCCGGATCTGGGTAGATCTGGGGGCAGGGAAGGCAGAACTGGCCAGAGTCAGAGCCTGGTGCAGCTCCCATCTCCACGTGGGCTGGCTCTACCTTAGAGCCAGTGAAGGCTTCTCTTAGGCAAAGGCCTCTCGTAGGCTATTTGTTGCTCTGTGCCCAAGGATTAAGGACACGGCAGGTGGTGTCTGCTTTGACTGTGGATATGAGACCCCAACATGCCTGCACATGACAATGCTCCCTTTGGAGAGGGAGCCAAATCAGCCGCTTAGTCCCAGGGTGCCCCTCCAGCTTCCTTCCCTCTGGTGGAGGGGTCCTGGCACTCAGCCACAGGTCCAACTTGCCACCGGAAGGGGAGGGAACACTTCTTGTGGGCAGAGCAGCTCTGTGCACCTCCATAGGCTGGGCACTGTGCCTGCCCTCTAGGGCAAACACAGCCCTCCGTTTGCAAACTGGCCCGGTGGGAGAGAACAGGCTACCTTTGTGGGGGGCACGCAAAGCCCAGGCTCTGGGTTGACATTGGCCCTGAGCCGGCTAACTGCCAGCAGCTCCAGGTCCCACCAAGGGCAACAGCCTGCCTGGGAGCCTGCCTGGCAGTGCGGACTCACCTTGGCATAGTCCAGAGGAAGTTGGTCCTCAGGGCATTTAAAAACTCCTTCACTGAAAAGGGGAGAAGGCATGGTCAAGACTCATCCTTATAGGAAGGGAGAACCGGGGCCCCACCCCCTCAACCAGGGCAGCCTGCCTCCCTCCCTCACCAGACCGGTTCCCAGCAGAGACAAAGGAGCAAGCAGAGGCATGAGGGGACCCACTCCTCCAGGGTCCCAGAAGACCCCAGCCCCATCCAGGAAGAGAGTTCATGGCCCAGTGGGAGCAGAGACAGCTGCCTCCAACAGCACTTGGCCAACAGGTGGCAGCTGGCACCCCATCCCCCAGGATAGCAGCTGGACTGGGCAAGAAACAAGCTGCCCAGTTACCCCTCCCTCGGGGTGTTTTTCACTGGCTGGACTGAAAGCTGATGGGGAGGGTGAGCGGGGATGGGCTGAGATGAAGTGCCAGGGCTGCCCAGCCCCAGGAAGGGGCCAGGCCAAGAACCAGGGCAAAGGTCAGTTCGGGGCTGCCGTATGCCATTCCTCCCCTCTGGAGGGTGTGTCTTCAAGAGGAAAGCGGAGGAAAGGCAAGATTTCTGGCACTGTATTTACATCTCACTAGGCCCTCACCACCTGCATCTGAGAAGGGTTGGAATGTCCCCATTTACAGGTGAAAGGGTGAGCAGAGGCTGACAGGTGAAGCAGCACCTGGATTTGTCTAACTCCACAGCTCACCTGGCTCCCCCACCCCACACAGCACACAGCAAAGAGGTTGGGGCAATCCACAATGCACAGCCAAGCACAGCCGAGATCTGGTTCCTGTTCCCTAGGCTCCTGAAGCTCAGTGACCCTGTACCCCTGCCTGCTGCCTTCTCTACCAAGCCCACCTGGCTGTTAGCACCCAGGGAGGCTGGTGGCCTTCTTCCTCCTGCCACCATGCCCCTGCTGACCCCAGCCAGAACCAGTCATGCTTGGGGGCAGGGCCCAGGCAGTGCAAGGGCTCACCCAGCAGGACTGAAGGCCCCCAGGCATGGCATTCCTGGCAGGTCTGAGTCAGGTGGGTGGGAGGCAGGCAGGCAGGCAGGCATCAAGGCGGAAGCACGGGTTGTACAGCACCCCTGTTTTGAAGGCATTTTCCATGTCCTGGGCAGGCCACGCTCCTCCAGGTGCCCAAAATGATTTCTAGCACTCACCTCCTCCCTAACCCTACCACCACTGGCCACGCCACCAATGCCAAGATCAATACATGCCCAGGCACTGAAGGGGTGTGCCTGTGCCCAACCTGAGTAATAGCCCTGGCAGGAGTGGGCAAAGAAGGGTGGACCAAGGGGGCGGGGGTCCACTTGACTGCTTCAGGAATGTGCTGACTGAGTGGTTTCGGAGACAGGGAGGGGTCTAAGACAAGTCCCTGGGCTTCAGGCAGCTTACCCTGCAGCCTGGGGCCCAGCCAGGACAAAGGGTTGCCAGGGCTATGGCCCTCCTAGCTTGTAGACAGGAGTGATGGTGAGGGGCGGAACCGACCCAAACCACTCTTCCTGCCAGAGGTGTCTGCAGGAGAGATCCAGAGCTGGGGAGGGGGAGAGGCGGGGGCAGAAGCTGCTCCAGACTGTGCTACGGAGGCCCAGGCCCAGGGGAGAAGACAGGATGGGGGGAGGGGGCTGTGGGAGAGGAAGAGGGGATTTCCGGGGGGGAGGGGCAGAAACAGCAGAGGGGGGCTGAGGAGGGAAGAGACCTGACAGCCCCCTCCTTCCCTAGGAGGTAAGGGTGGGTCAGCTGGAGGGGGCTGGCTCAGCTGCTCTCATCTGGAAAGCAGGGCTGGGAAGGGCAGCCGAGGAGACAATGGGCCCGTGTGTCTGTAGGGGAGTTAAGTGTGTACACTGCAGGGAGGAGGGTGGAGAGAGGGAACGGGAGGAGGGGGCCGCGCAGCAGCTTGAGCAGGAGCATGTGCGAGGGCAGGAGTGGGGCGGCTGCGGGGACGGAAAACAAAGAGCCTGAAGAGCCCGAAGAGATTTCCTCCGGCAAGGGGCTGCGGAGGGCCGGAGGGAGGGCGCACTGAGGCAGGAGCCCCGGCGGCGCGCTCCCTGCCGGGGCCTCTCAGCACGGCAAAGCGCCTCCGGACAGCGGCTGTCCCGGCCCGGCCAGTGCTCTCGCGGGCACGACCTCCCCAGGCGCGGGGACTCCTTCCCTCCCCTCCCTACAGCCCGGCCTGAGCAGCTGCCAGAGCCGGCGGGAGATTCAAGACGGCACGGGACTCCCAGAAACTTGATAGATGTCCCAGAGGCAGGGCTGACCTGAGTCCAAGAAACGGCCCAAGACCCCTGCCGACCCCACCTGGGACCAGCAGCAACCAAGGTGCGACGCCCTCCTTAACAGCGTCTTTACCACCCGCCCCTCCCCGGACTCCAGACCCCGGGAAAAGGGAGAGACACCCTAGGGACTCCCGCTGAAGGAGAGCGTTCAGGCGGCACAGTCCCCACTCCACTGTGTGACCACAAGCAGCCCCGCTCGAATCCCAGTTAAGCCTTCAATTGTGTGACCCTGGGCAAGTCGCAGCCTTTCTTTCAACCTCTTGTTTCATCATCTGTGAAATGGGAGAACAATAGCGGCCGTTCTCTGAGCACACGAAGAATCGCAAGAGATTAGGGGGACGCAAACTCCCGGAGCTTAACGTGCTGCGCGGGACAGGAGCTTTCGTCCTTCCCTTCCCTATCGGGGCACAGGTCAAGGGTGAGGCCGCCCCGGCTCTCAGGTGAGGGGGAAGGGCCGGCCCCGGGTCGGAAAGGGCGTCTTTCTCACCTCCGCCCCGCGGGGAGAACGGAGTTCTGCCGGCTGGGCGCTGGCAGATGGGACCCGGGACCCCACTGTAAGGGACAGTGGGGTCCTCCCCTGGGGCCTGACGTCACCGGGGTCCCGTGACGTCACGGTGGGCGCCCTTGAGGTCACGGGGCCGCGGCGAAGACAAAGGCCGGCCGAGCCTTGCGCCCGAGCCCCTCCCCATGCAGCGCACTCCCTCGGCGGCACTGGCCGTCCCCCGCCGTCCCCGTGCCGCACCTGAGAAACTCTTGCAGGCAGGTGTCACAGAAGCGGTGGCCGCAGGTCGAAACCTGCACGGGCTCGCGCATAGGCTTCCCGCACAGTGGGCACAGAAGCCGCCGCTTGGGCTTCTCCAGGAACTTATAGTCGAAGCCGGGCATGGCGGGCGGGCACGGGCGAGCGGGGCCGGGCACGCGGCGGCCCCACAGCCC